GGTGTCGTCAGAGCAACGATTTAAATTCAATCACGCGAAAGATAGGTAGTAATAAAACCTGTGGCTATAGGGTCATGTATGTCATCACATGGATATCCTTACCATTGTGTTTTATACTTCTGGGTGTAGTATGTGGCAATGATGATGTTGATTGTTTTATTGTGGTAAATTATTGGGTGTTCTATTTATGTTGTTGCTGCTATTGTTAGATGCTGTATGTTATATATTGTATTTCTTTGTGTTGATGATGTTCGTTGATATGCGTTGACTCATTATAATGATCGATGGGAATCTTTCCTTTTTTATTCCGTTTGTTGCAGGTACTTGTATGTAATGGACAAGAGAATCGTTGATTCTGACACAGAACCTTTCTCATCTGCTGGGAGCTTGAATGCATGTTTGCTGATATTGGCGGTAAAACTGTGTGTTTACTTTGTGTTTATCATGTAGCTGTGATCAAAGAATATAATCCGAGACGGCACTATGACATAGACATTAAGACAAGTTTAAAAACCCGAATACAGTGCAGAGGCTACAGAAGGTAGACGAATTAAAGAGGAATCTAACATCACAATAGACGTTTTCACCAAAGTAAAAGCACGATGTGAAGCAGTTAGGAAAACCAGTTTTATGGTGGCGTTTTCCATTTTCCGATGGACAGCCTTTGCAGAGCTACATGATGAAAGTGTGTGACGTCCTAAGTCCAGACAAAAGGCAGATGTTTTTCATCGTCAGCTTTAGCAGAGACACGGTTGCTGAGCGAGTTTGTGAGATGGTCACCGATGTGAATACACAGCTGATCGAAAAAGGCAAAGATTTTGTTGCATAATCCCTTAGTGTCTATGAAAGTAATGACATGACTGACGTTGCACAGTCAGACATCTTCATAAACTTAATATACTTCGCTTTGATAGTTACAGAAGAAATTTGGACCTGAAGTCTGTGCATGGGACAACGACGGGAAAAGACATGTTTGACAACGTATGCCATAGTGCAACCGACATGAACCTGTCTTGGGACAAACTTTTTGGACTTAAAACAGATGGAGCACCGGCGTTGTGCGGCGAAATAAGTGGACAACTTGGAAGGATGCAGTTAAAGTTGCAGGAACTCTGTACTGGTGAGTTGATAGCATTTCAATGCATCATCGACAAATCATGCCTGTGTGACAAAGTCTCGAAAATGGAACTTGTAACACAAGCCGTCAACTTTATCAGAGCCAAAGGTGTAAATCACCGTCAGTTTCAGTCTTTTTGGTAGCAAATGGATTCAGAGTTCAGGAACCTACCTTATCATACAGAGTTACTGTGGCTTAGTCGTGAAAAATCCTCACTAGGACTTTCCAGCTTAGTAAGGAAATCTGTCAGTTCATGGACAAAAAGGAAATGACCACTGTTATGCGGGATGGAAAATGAAAATCTGCATTTGCGTGTCTGTTTGATATAGCCACTCATCTCAGCATTATGCAACTGCAGCTCCAGGGACGGTACTATTTGATCACTGATATGCATGATGCAGTGAAGGCATTTCAAGTGAAGCTGCGCTCATGGGGAACACAAATTCACCAGTGTAACCTACCTCACTTTCCGTGACGCAAAGCAACGTTGACTCAAGTCAGCGTCAAGGTGTTCCAAAATGCCCTTCGCTGAAAAACTGAGCTCACTTCGCGCTCTATTCGCACGGCGCCTTAGTGACTTTGAAGCACAGAAAGTTAAGTTCGAGCTGTTTACCAACTCATTTGTCAGGGACGTCTAGAGTGCAGCTGAACATTTCAAGATTGAACACATAGGACTGCAGTGTAATGGGACATAAAGGCAAGCTACGACACAGTGGGACCCGCACAGTTCACTCGTTTCATTGCTGAAGCGATGTCCCAGCCACGTTTAGATGCGGCTCTAGCCTTAGGCATGTTTAGTAGCATATGGTTGCGTTAGCAGCTGCTTTCTGTGACGAGACATCACACAAGATGAGTCTCATTGATGAATACCTGCAGTCCATTCTGCGAATCTCCATAATAGAGAAGATTACTCCAGGCATGAATGAAGTCGCTGACAAGAGAAGACGCCAAACATCCAGCTCTGACAAATTGGGCCATTAGCTAAAATTAGTATGCGATAATTTGTTACAGTTTCGGAAAACTGGTAGATCGAATCCCGCTTTCGAAAAGTCACCTGCACGCCGATCACGGATCGACAATTCAATCAGCGAGATTACACTCCACATCTCGACGCACTGATGATGCCGCCTCGCATGGCGGTGAAACGTTTGCAAGCAAATTTCCCAGCTCGGCGAACAAATGAGCAACTGAATTTGTTCCAGTTTTAACTTGTCCATGATACCAATTATTCTTGTTAAAAAAATGTTTGGTTTTCTGCTGTTCAATGAATGTTAATGCAGTGTTGCCCGCAATCTTACTTGTGGTTTCAGTTTTGGTCCGCTGTGAGATTGAATTTGATACCCCATGGACTAGAGCAACGCACGTTCTCTTCACCCACGCAAATTACACCAGCCGCCACTGGTGGTATTTTTACGACCCAAATGGCCGAACGTGGTTGGCACTGCAACTCATTTTGTGAGAGAAATGAATTACTACGTAGGTATGGGGTTTACAAAATACTATTGCTCATTTGACAGGGCTGTGCACTGTCTTGGATAGGCTGGGAGCTACTGTGTTGTGGGCAGGAAATGGGCCTCTCGTGGCGCAGCCCGCATACAAAGTTAGCGCGCCTTTGCGTAATTTTGCGGGATCACTTGACGTTCCCGCAACAGGACCTAGTATTCCTTGGCATAGCCTGCCTCCAGCTTTGATTTTATATTCTTATCTCGTTGGAATGAATGATATCTAACAGCCTCAGGGTCATTCACCAGTAAGGCGAAACTAATCTGTCCACTTCAACACTGACCGTACTGACGTATTGCAGTAGAAAAGCACATGCACTGAAATTCACACATTTCGCACCCTGTATAAAGTATGTTTGTGTGTAGGGTGGTGTCAAAAGCAAGCCTAGGTAACGAAAAAACCATTGTTCCAGACACGTTTGCTTAAAATAGTGTCAAATGTTTATCAGTTGTGTTATTACCGAAGAAATAGAACGAAACTACATTACTATGACCCGCAAGCTATAATCACTTACCCATTGAGTAATTTCACCTGGCCGTCCTGCCGTCAGGAATGTTCACCAACCTCATTGCGCCAGTGTACAGGAACAAGTATTCTCGAGATAAAAGTTCTCAGAAGCCAGTCCTCCATCAAAAAGGCTTGAACTTATTTGAAATCCAACAAAACAAACAGGAAACTTGTAAAGTCATCAGATTTAACTAACATGGACTCTACGAAAAACAATGCGTTCCTGCTTTCTCATGTATTCGCTTCTACAGGATTTCACTAAGGCCAATTCGGATAGCTAGCGCAAAGCCACTGCTACACATTCCAACCTCCATAAGATAATCTGACGGAGTATTCCTCCCTTCTAATCTAAGCTGGAAAGCAACGAAAATCCTGGCATTTTTAAGGCACAGTAAATTTTTATATGCCACTCAGACCCATTCGAGCGGTGCGGTTGCGTACGTCGGTACGCTATAAACTATGTAGCTGTGTGGACAACGACATATGAAGCAGTGACTGTCTCTAAAATCGGAGGGCAAGGTCTACAACTGCGACCAATCCATGGGTGTACGGAATTCTTACCACTCGTTGGACATGTACTTACACCAACTGTCCCGGTCTAGGCTATGAGCCTGATCAAGTTGATATGTTACTGTTTTGTGCATTATAGCGGTCATTTTTATCGCTGCATTGATTCAGATTGGGAGCACTTGTGATTGTGCTTAGTTTATAACCCCCAGTTGTTCATCGAACAGTACTGAAATGCCCAGTAGTATTTTATCAAAGAAATTGCTAGTAATTAAATTTTCCTGATTGTGTAACAATGGAAAGTTTGCTGCACTCGAGCCATGCAGTTAGCCCTAGACAATAACGGGACAGCCATCCTCGCAGCTAACCCACTATATTCCAGTGTTGCACCTGCATGTGCAAAGAAAACCAGATGTTTTTGTGTCGCACGTTCTATGGTACTCTCTATATAACTGCTGACAATCCTCGACACCAAACTATTTTACATAATGCGCAGGGTGAAATTTCAGTGCCGATATTTGTTCAGCCCGACGGTGAGCTCGATTAGTTTCTCAAATACCGGGCAAATTCGCAACGCGCGCCATAGAGTTCAGACACACGATGCTACATCTGTCAATCCACAGAAACCGGTGCGTAGTTAGCCTTTTATCGATTTGAGTCAGCTGACTAATTGACGGCTGCAGCCAATGAGGAGTCCGCTTGCAGTGTTGAGCGTTGCAGCCAATCGTGCTATCGTTGTTTTGACCTAAACGGCATGCCGGTGGCTGTCCGTAGATGTAACCCGAAGCCTGGTAATACATCGCGCGGAGATGTGATAGCAATAATCGCGTTATAGTGTTTCGTAGCATGGCGGAAGCCAGTGTTCAGTCCCTGAATATACTTCATTTTAATGATGTTTATAATGTGGAAGGCCAAAAAGTCGAACCTGTTGCAGGTGCAGCGCGGTTTCGCACTGCATTGATGTCACATAGAATCGGTGACGATAGCTGCATTGTGCTATTCTCCGGCGATGCTCTCAGTCCCTCCATTATCAGTAACATTACGCAAGGGAAGCACATGCCAACTATCTTGAATGATTTGTTCATCGACTGTGCCGTTGTGGGGAACCATGATTTGGACTTCGGCCTGGACATACTGTGTGAATGTATAGAAGAGTCGCAATTTCCTTGGTTGGATACAAACGTGATGGACCGCGACACAAATCAACCCCTGCTCGACACAAAAGCCTACCACATAATAGAACGCGGTGGGGTGCGCATTGGAATAATCGGCTTGTTGGAAGAGGAGTGGATAGCCACACTCTCATGCGTGGATACCACTGATTTGGTCGTGCTCGATATGTGCAAAGTCGGCCAAGATTGGGCGAAACGATTGAAGAAATCTGGCCCGTATGAATGCGATCTAGTGATTGCGTTAACGCACATGCGATGGCCAAACGACAGAAAATTGGCGGAAATGGTTCCAGAAATAGACCTAATTCTTGGTGGTCACGACCATTCCTATCACGTAGAGTGGGTGGACAAACCCAACCAGGCGTGTTACACCAGAGCAATCATCAAGAGTGGCAGTGACTTTCGCACTTTTTCCAAGATTAATCTAAAAATTGACACTTCGCGAAAGTGCATTGCGGAGATGACTGCAGAAGAGGTCACCGTGGATAGTCGTTGGGAGCCGGATGACAAAGTAAGTTAGGGCTTCACTTAATTTCAGTTTTGACATCAACCGCAGTCTGAATGTTAAGTTTCGATGCGCTATAACCAGAAAATGGTTACGCTTGGTTCCTACGGAAATCGATCTTATTACTCTGCTTTTAATACTCTGATATGGCCGTCACTGGATGTACGACGCCGGACAGTTTAATGCATCCTCTCTAGCACCAGCTTTTGAACGGTAACCTATTGAGCGATCCACAGTCTCGATTGAGACTGCATGTCTGATCACCTACATAAACGCGTGAGTTTGAGGAAGGTTTGTTTGTTTGCGAATTTTATTCATGTTAATGCAATGGAAAACTGTAATCGTATTTGTTTCGAATTTCTTTTTGGCTAACAAAGTTGACACTGTTTAGCTGGAAGCCAATTTTCGCTAAAATGATGCCACAGGTATGTCACACGAAGACCAGAAATAAGATTTCCCGTGTCCGTACAGTTCCACGGGAGATAACAGGTGCGCTCACCACATATGCTAGACACGTCGTAGGGCCAGTTATGCTGCAACACGTCAGATAGCTAATTCTCAGGGACTATATCCTCCTCCTAGCTGCGAAACATATTAGTTTTCTACAGTTTTTGTCAGACAGCTTCAAGCTTATTTTTTGCGTTTTTTATAAAGACACTGGGAGCTACTTAGTATAATTATACGCGCTTTAAACCTAGAGCTTTACCCACTAAAGTTGCTGTGTTGTTGCATGTCGGTGTGTTCAATTCAGTTCAGTTGAACTGTGTCACTTGGATGTTGAGATTGGAGGAGAATCAGTGTATGAGAACTAAGTCTGGTATCCTTTTAAGTTTTCTTTGAAGAAACATAAGGGCAGTAACTTCTCATGTAAACATGTATTGCTGTTGGAAACGTTATAGTGTTGCTCACCTCAACACTGGCACTGCTTCTGATTGTTCTTCGGATGCTTCACCCTCTATGTTGACTGTACCCACTCGTCCATGAGGAAATGCTAAGCCAGCACCAATGTCACTGAAGAATTGCCTCGTTGACAGGTCATCAAGAGATCCAACATTCTGAATCACTTCGTTGATATCAACGTCATCAGTGTTTTGTCTATCACGCCGTCAGTTTCTTTTACCATAGGGATACGATCTTGTGCAGAATACATTTAGAGATTCCTTTTTAAGAAGCGTTTACCAATTGAAATATAGTGGACATACAATGTTAATAAAGACCATATTATTGCAATTCATAATGGTTCACACTGCATAAGCGCAATATATGTGAAAATATATTCAGTCCTCTTATCAAAAATTTATGTATCCCAAACCACGTGTCAAGGTATCATTTGTTGCTGGCCTCCTTTAAAATATTTAGAGGATTGCACCTCGTGGATGTAATAGCTATCACGCATTTTAAATGGTTATATGTGATACTTTGCTCTAGACGTATAACATAACATATATATGGCAAGCATTTGATACTTTTCAGTGAATAATTACTTAAAGTACGCTAACCTTTTTGGATTTTGGATTTTAGCCACTTTTTGTGATCATAGAAGGATAGAAAGTCTTTTTCTAAAACAAACTTTAACTGGCCAACAGTGATAATAAGGATTATCATGTTAGCTGAAGTTACAGACAAAGAGATTACAATTAATAGCACTCTTCAATGCTTTAAATCACATTTCAAAGAGCGTCCGTTAAAAAGGACGCCAGCAGAAAGTGGATTGAAGTCGCGTTTAATAGTACTTCTCTGTGATTTCAGAACGTTTCCCTAATGGCAACCCGTTTGTTCCTTGACCGGTTTACAGATACCTAGAAGGATGAATGGTGCATGCTGCAGCTGTCGTGGGTTCAGTTTTAGTTAGGAAACGGAAATGTTAACTAGAAACACTGGATTTTCCGTAGGTGAGAACAATTAACTAATAGACGAAAGTGGCGGAAGTGGAAATAATTGTAATGCAGCACACAATTTAAAGTGATAACCGCGCATGTGCCAATCACTTATTGTCTATGGTTCACGCTTCGTTTCAGAGTAGACGTCTCGTAGTGCCATAATTTAGAGGCAGCCCCTGAAACGGCCACTTGGACGAGGCCGTACCGAAGCTTTGTTTCCACACAACCACCACCGGTCGCGCGTGGGCTTAGGATGCCGCGGTCACCCGGTCCCCTAGGCAGGTTCGGACCGCTGACCTCATGACGACAAGACAGTCGTGTGATCCTTTCGTATACCGGCTAGCAATAGTCCTTGTGAGACATGGGTTGGTTTATTCGTAACAAGACATCAGGAAGTATGTGTTGAGGACGTCACCCGCGGGGCACTTTCTGTTGCTAGTCCGATAAATCACGTAATGTTGCGTCCAACGTTGAAGATCCTTACTAAAAGTATGCCAAGTATGATGTACGATTAGCTTAAGAAGGGCTAAAATGTCCTGATGCACGATTTCGTTTAGTCGTTTTTTTAGATACGTCAAAAACGTTTAGTGCCGAATCGAGTAGATACAACTGAGGGAGTGTAACCCAGAGGTCTGGTCTCCCATTTACGAATTCAAGACCGTATTCTTGATGGTTTGCGAGATTTACAGCTGGCTAATGCGAGACTGTGGTGCCTATGCGGCGACTGTCATATATGAACTGCAGTACGTAGCCCACTTGGCAGATAGTCATTAGGAAACTTCGTGAGATACGAGTTGTTGCTTTATGTTCATTAAGCTCGGCATCTCAGATTCCTTAGAATCAACGACGCGCCTGTTTGACCGTAAGATACGCATGCATAAGCTGTCTCCTGAAGTTGTTGTAGTTCGTTTGAACGAGTCAAAGCTCCAGACAGGAGCAAAACAGTGGTTCGGGCTGCTTATCGACTAGTTTCTGTAGTAGAGCCAGAATATCCATCCACATCCTTTTGTGGGCGATAAATGTGATGGCCAGATGTAGTCATCATCATCATCATCATTATACACGTCAGCTAGAGGTGGGAAAACACCTCCGCTATTGTGCCGCAATACATGAAGGAAATACACACATACATACATATAATACAATACACAAAGGAAAAATAGATATAACAGTTGCATGCCAGCTGAGCTACCAGCAACGGATAGGCATCGTTCCGGTAAGCTTTCAGCCAGCTACTAGGCAAAAAGAAAAAAGTTATTATGTTTTACCCTACGAAATGAGATCGTAGATGAAGGGGGAGGCTAAAAGGGATGTGTAGGGACAAAGAAACTCACAGCACAAACGCCACTGAGGTCGGCTCCTTGCCATGTCAGCAAGTGTATCCAGTCAAACGTGTTCACCGTCTTTTGGACCCCAACCAGGGAGCCGTGACGCTCCAACCGAGGCTAGCTCCGAAGTGAGGGACTTCATTCCCCTAGACCAAGTCATCGCTTGACCACCTCTCCTCTTCTTCCACCCACATCCCCGGTGAGCAAACAACGCACGTCGCAGGAGTCGGTGGGTTTGCATGCGTAACACGCGGCCGAGCCATCGGAGCCTGGTGCGGGAAATAACGGTGCTGAGCGGTTCAGATCCTTTTCCTGGGCCGTAAACAATGCGTCGAACATGCTCGTTACTCACGCGGTGTTCCCACCAGATATGAGCCAAACTGCGAAGGCACCGATGGTCGAACGTAACTAGCCTCTTCATGTCCGCCGATCTTAGGGGCCAGGTTTCGCAACCGTACAATAGGATCGAACGTACCGCTGCATTGTACACTCTACCCTTCAGGGCGAGAGTGATGTCGCGCCGCCGCCATAGGTGGCGAAGGTTAGCAAAAGCACTTCGAGCTTTCGCTATACGGTTCCTGATCTCGTCTTCGATCCCAAGGGCGCTGATACAACTTTCCAGGTAATTGAATTTCTGAACGACTTCTAGCTGATCCCCACCAACGGTCAGCGCAGGAGGCGATCCCTGCCAATCTTGGAGAAACGCTTTGCACTTCGATGATGCACAGCAAAGTTCGAAGCGGCTGACAGCCAGTGCTAATTTGTCCAGCGCGGCTTGGCACGTCTGGGAGCTGTCACAGATGAGGGCAATGTCGTCTGCATACTCCAAGTCAAGAAGTCGTTCTCCTGGGAGTAGCTCAACACCTTCCAAGTCATGTCCTGTAAATGCAAACTCCATGGCTTCGTCAATATCGAAGTTGAAGAGGAAAGGTGACAGCGGGCATTCTTGTGTCACACCGCTGGAGATATTGAAGGGTGGCGACAGCTTGCCGTAAGCCCTCACTCTGCCCGTGCTACGCGCATATAATGCTTGGATAATATTTACATATTCCTCGGGCACACCTTCCCGGAGTAAGCAATTCCAAGGGCACATCGATCAGCCGAAACGAAGGCACGTTTGATGTCGAGGAACACGACTAGGGTGGGCCGCCAATATGTCTGACGGTGCTCCAACAACTGACGCAAGGTGAAGATGTGGTCGATGCAGTCACGACCCCGACGAAGCCCGGCTTGCTCTTCACGAATCTGGCTTTCACGAGCGCCAGTCAATCTGTGAAGGATTATGGAGGCGAGTAATTTGGAGGCGATGGAGATCAGACTGATTCCTCTATGATTGCCGCATTCCGAGCGCGAGCCGCCTTTGAAGATGGGAACAATAACGGAGCGGCTCCAGTCGGTTGGGACAGTCTCCTGCTCCCACAGTTTCACTAGTAATTCATGTAAAGCATCAACAAGAGCAAAGCCTCCGAATTTGAAGAGTGCTGGAGGAAGATCATCTGGTCCCGCGGCTTTGTTCAACTTCAACAGTCCAATCTCACGTTTGACTTCTGAGCGAGAGGGTGGATCCAAAGGGACAGCCCACGGAGCAGGGCGATCAGTGACCGGCGAATTGAACAATTCTAGCCGATTAAATTGCTTTTCAAAATGCTCAGACAAACATTCCAAACATTTTGACAAATTGTGGATAGGCTGTCCACTCTCATCACAAATTGTTTCACTAACACCAGGTCTCCTGCTGCCCTTTTCCGATATCTGACGGAATAACTTACGATGGTTGCCAAGGGCAGCGGCCATATCCATCTCTGAC